CAAAACATGCATTTATTTCACTGAAAGCAGGTCTTGACTCAGAGTGAACCAGAAAAAGCAGGGAGATGCACTGAGCAGTGCTGTGCTTGTCACTTATATTGCCAAGATGTGACTTAGGCTCCAGTACGCATGAGAAGGCAGACTGCTGTTGCATTGTTCCCTCTTCTGAGCACCCTGCTTTTTCATATCTTCACCATCCAGGCAATTTCTTTTGTATTTGTATGTTCTGGCTTTGGACACAGCAGCTTTCTTTCCATATCTGCTTTCTAGCTCCTCATGCCCAAGCCCCGTGCATCCCTGTGCTGGCAATTTGTCACCCGTAGATATTTTGAGACTGTTTTAAATGTCCAGCAGGCCACTTGTCAGAATGTGAGTTGAATGACTAGGTGGCAACTTTACTTCGAACTCCCACTTGGCTCACCTCTTTCTCTGGGTCCTGGTCCAGCGCTCGGTTAAGTCTTTTGAAACCTCCCCTGTACTTGCCCTGCTGTGCTTCTGCGGTCTGTACAGAGTGCTCTTGCTAAGGGCTCCTGCTGCTGGATCATGTCACTCCTCTCTCAGGATCCCTCCTTTTGCTGCTTTTCTCCTTCCCCAAACAGCCACCGCTTTGGGGCCCTGCACAAAGCCACCCCTTGCACATCTTTGCCTTCCTTTCCTCTTCCCAATGTCCTCTCCTAAATGTCCCTTTTATACACTTCTCCCACTGCTATCTTTTTACTTCTTCAGTCTCTATATGCTTGAATCTGCATATTCCTGAGTGTGAAACACCTACCTTCTCCAGTGGTTGAAGTAATTTGAACCAAGAAGGAGAGCTCTCCTATACCTGTGAAGGTGTAGGGGGACCAGTAGAGAAGCACTTCCCACCCAGGCCTGGGAAAGCACTGCCTCAATTTTTAGGCCATGTCTTCACTACACAGAAGATTGACGCTGCTGCGGTCCATCTTCCAAGGTTTGATTTAGCGGGTCTAGTTAAGACCCGCTAAATCAAACTCAGAGAATGCCCCTGTTGGTGTCGATACTCCTGTTCCTTATGAGGAGCATTTGCTCCCATCAACCTCCTTCTGTGTGGATAGTGCAAAAATGCAATTTAAGATATATCAGCTTCAGCTATGTCATTACCATAGCTGGAGTTGCATATCTTGATTCATCTTTCTGCTGTGGTGTAGACCAGGCCACGCTGTAGCATAACAAGGGAAGGTGCCTTTACCATCTCCCATGCCTGTCCTTACTTTAGCCCCTGATACTCATCTTAGTCTCATGGAATAACTATTTGTAGTATAGTAGCAGCTACAGGGCACCAACTGATAGAAGGGCCCATTTTCCTGGGTGCTGAAAAACACACAGTAAGACAAAGCCTGCCCTGAGAAATCTAAAGCTTAAAGGGTGAAAGGAAACAGAAGTGAAGTTACTTTCTCAAGACAAAACAGTGGTAGAGCTAGACCTAGAATCCCATGTTTCTTGAGTCCATAGCTAAGTGCTTTCTCCATCCTCTTCCATTCAGATCCTTCCCTCAAATGCATTTCCAGTATTGCGACCTTAGAGCATTTAAAAATCCAGAGTCTAGCCACAAAACATCAGGAGTTACAGTTTAAAAATAATTTAGGGTTTTTTTAAATGTCTAAAATATGTGCCATCCAATTTCTGAGCCTCTAGGTTACACTGAGTTCACATTAGGCTTTCTACTGCAACCATGAGAACTACACATATTTTTAATGGAAGTGGAGATTCTCCATTCCAGGAGCTGGGACTTGAATAAAAACGGAATGGTGGCAAGATTTGCAATAAAATCACCCGAGTTTACAGCAGTGCACTTCTTCCATAATTCTATTGACAGCTACCCCCAGTTTAAGAACTCTGGAAAATTGCATTACAAAACACATCACACTGCTTTGGGGTGGGAGCAATTGTATGCTAGGTTGTGTGGCTTGTATTAGACTGTTTAGATTGCTTAGGCTAGGTCTACACTAAAGCTTTTTTTTTTTTTTAAGCTACACAATTTGTGCTCTGCAATTTGCGTAGCTTTTTCTGATTGCTTTTCCAGAAGAGGCTTTTTTTGTTCTTCCACAAAAAAAAAGCAGAAGAGCAAACACATTCCCTGGATGCAGTGGAATTTTTCTGGGATATCTCTGATATCCCGAAAACCCCCCACAGTCTAGACATACCCTGGGAGGCAAGGACTGTCCCTTCCTTTTTTCTCCACTTTGATAACGTTTGACAAATAACAATCCCCCTCCTCTACATTGGTAGTCCTGCTCTGGCACTGCGCAACCCCCCTTCTCACTCCCTTGAATGCCATGGCAGCCTTTCCTTAATGAAATCAGCAGAGAGTTACCAGCTGGAGTGAAGAGGTGTTTTGTATCTTGAATAGTAAACACCACAATAGAAGTGAGAGGTGGTGAGGCCCAGGAGGAAGAGAGAAGTAAATAGCACTGCTCCCCATGACTGTTCTCCTAGTGAACAGCTGCCATGGGATAGCAAACAGTTCCTGATTGAGATAAGATTACACACATGCAATTACAACTAATCATCCTAGAAAGCTTTTTTGCAAAAGGAGTTGGATTCTGTTCTGGTTCTCTTTTTATTTGAATACAGAGGCGGCAGCACAGGGACCAAACTCCCCACGGACAGAGGCTGCATGGCATTCCATGGAGCAGCCTCTGTCTGCAGCTCAGACCCTGGACCTAGCACCGGGTCCAACCTCCTCCTCCTCCTCCCCCTCCCCCTCCCCCTTGCTGTCTTTAATACAGAAGCAGCAATGGGGGGGGGGGCATGTAGTCAATAGGATTAACCGATAAGACGAGGCTTATCGGTTAATCGTGTAGTCGACTACACAATGACATCCCTACTTATGGCTAAAGCATAAGAATAGGGAGGAACAGGAAATCTGTCTGGCTCTTTTGCAGACTCTTTGGGTGGCTTATGGGGCAAGTCTCTTATCTTCACTTCCTGTTTCCTCAGCTGTGTAACGGAGCTACCATGCATGACATAACTGTCAAGGTTGATGTGAGGCTCAGTTCATGAACAGGGTCGAAGTTCTTTGAGAGCCTTGGGTGGGTGTCCATTCGGAAATGCAGAACAGCAGGTAAAACTAGGTGAATAATGGGGAAAAAATGACTCACAAATACGGAAAACTTCACTAAACTGAAATCTGTTCACCAATGATTTGCCCAGCACCACAGCTTGAACAAATGGTGAAAAAATATTCCTCCAATACTGTGTTTTAGAAGAGATTATGGAATTCATCAGATAAATTACTCCAATCACATTGGGCCAACTCTAGAAATATCATTAAAACAGACCTGGCTGGGACCTGGATTCTATTACAATAGACCTGTTGGGGTGCATTTAAGAAACCAATTAATTCTGTGTCTGTCTTTGGAGAAGTTGCCAGTAGGGGGATTGGGAAATATGGGGATCTCTCCAGACATCTCTTGCATGCAATGATTAAGCATCCTGGCTTCCAGGGGCCCCAAGAGCACTTCTCTGGCTGAGGAGGGGACCCGTTTGATGTCTTGTGCTGGGTGCCAGCCAAGACTGTCAGACAGAGTTAGTTTTAACAGTGCATCCTATTTTCCCCTTGATAGCCTATAATCTTTCTTCCTACAGATTTTCCATGCACAGAGAGAGCTGATGTTTTTCTTATTAACGATACAGCGTTTGCAGACTGAGCTGCTGTGGGAGAGCTGGAGGTGTTTGTTTGTCCTCTTAAAGGAAACAATATACCCCATGCTGAAGGATGTTCCCAGGAAGTCTGCTGTTGTCAGAACTAGTGGCTGGTGCTTTTGGGTCAGGCTTTTTTTGCCTTCCTGGTTGTGTTTTTCTGGGAGAATACTGCATTTGGAAGTCTTGTCTGACTGGGCTTCACAGCTAGATGCCTATGTCAGAAGCCTGCAAAGGCACACAGGTCTGAGTGATGGGTATATCTTCTTGAAGCTAACCAGCCACATAGCTCCACACAGGAATTCCCTTTTATTTAGATTTCAAATGCACCATGTAAGCTTTCCCTGCCTGGAAGTGCTATGCTGGACTTCAACCACCCACAGCACAAGTATGTTTACAGGGATGAATAGGGTTGCCAGGTGTCTGGTTTTGAACTGGGCAGTCCAGTATTTGAGCTTTCTGTTCAGGAAACAAATTGAGAAAATATAAATGATAAACTATAAATGTCCGGTATTTTAAAAAAAAAGTTATTTTGAAGGAAGGGTTTTTTCTTAAAAAACCCCATGTGGACTGCGTTTGTTTTCTCAAAATACGCTATTTCAGAAAAGCAGCTGTCCGCAATTATGCAAATGAAGCACGGGAAATTTAAATCCCTGCTTCATTTGCAATTTTGCTTGTCTGCATTTGCATTCCTCTCTCAAAGGAGGAATGCAATGTAGACATACCCTCAGAGGCCAAAGCTCAGATCTGTTGGGAGGGGACCCCTTAGGGGTCTGTCCAGGGACTTGGCCTTGGAGATGTGATTGTCAGGTGGGGAGGGGAACTGAGAATACTTTATTTCTTGCGATGGCTGGATTACTTTGGGGGAGCCCTTGGATTGGATTGAATCCGGGCACCATTTACATTGCATGTTTGCGAAGATGAATTTTTGAAGGAGGTGGGGGAGTGCCCATGTGTAATGTATCTGCAGCAGGTTAACAAGTATGTTCTTAATGGGAGGGGAGGCTAAGCTGTGTCACAAGGCTGCAGTGTTCAAGAGGTGATGAGGCAGAGGGAGCAGATGGGATTACGCCACAGCCAAGCCTCCTGGGTCGAACCTAGAGGGGTTGATTCCTTTAAAAAAAAAAGTTCTCTGTCGCGAAGGCCTCGCCGATAACTTGCGGGAAGCTTGAGGCTCACTTCAAAGGCACTAAGCTGCTGGGGAGGAAAGGCCAGGCAAGCGCCTGCACTAGGCATGCTCAGCAGGGACTGGCTCCGTGCGAGGCTGGGCTGGCTCACAAGTCTGCCGAGGGCGGAGAGCAGGGCAGGCATGAGGCAGAAAAAAAAAGTTCTCTGTCGCGAAGGCCTCGCCGATAACTTGCGGGAAGCTTGAGGCTCACTTCAAAGGCACTAAGCTGCTGGGGAGGAAAGGCCAGGCAAGCGCCTGCACTAGGCATGCTCAGCAGGGACTGGCTCCGTGCGAGGCTGGGCTGGCTCACAAGTCTGCCGAGGGCGGAGAGCAGGGCAGGCATGAGGCAGCCGGTGGGGGAGTCGG